AATCTAGAAAAGCATAATTTAAGTACAGTCCCTGAAGGCCATAATGAGTATGGACATATGTTTTGATGCACAAATTCCTTCAATTTGTGAACTTAATGCTACTAATTGTGTCAAGAAAGAAGATTGTATTTTGTATTTTTTTATTCCCAGATACCTAAAAGGTCACATCTGGATAATGTTAATTGCTGTATATCACGAGAATGAACTGGGTTTCTTTAGGTACATTCACGCACCAACCCCATTTGGCCTGCTTTAATCAAACTCCAGTTTGTTTGCCTAGAAAGTCTGTTTCTTTTGGGGAAGTGTGATTGTGAAACTGAACTCTGATTTGGACTAAAAAAGCAAACTCCGCCTATGGACCTAGGTCTCGTTTGTTTGAAGTGAACTCTGGTGTGAATATGTGAATGCCAAACAGATCAGAGACCACTCCAGAAATATGAACTAGAAAACAGCACAGGGCATTCTAATCTATTGCTAGCAGGAGAAATGGCTTGTGATTTTCAGCTAAAGAGAAATCCTACAACCACTGAAATTTGACACCACTCCATTTGTTTGCATTTTGAAAAGAAGGAAGTTTTGTTCAGTGTCTTCAGAGATTTTCATGTCAATTCAGTGATTCTTAGTGCAGCGCCAATACAGACAAGGAGGGAAACAGGTTTTTCAAAATGTTTGGCTCATTTGACAGTGCAGTATGAAAGTGAACCGCAGCAGCTGAAATGTAAAAACTGTTGCAATTTTGGTCCCCAATTGAAATGAGTCTACCGGACTGTCAGGTGTGAAAACAACCTTAAAATGTGGCTATATGGTTGGGCCTGGTTAAAGTCAGGGGTCTGAAACTTCAGTCCTCAGAGGCTAGTGTTCTTCAGCTTTTAAATGCATCTCTCCTTCAACAGAACAGGCTCCTACAATAGGGTCATTACCAGGCCTCTGTAGAACAAGCTCAGTAAGTAGAAACAGAAAGTGAAACAGGATTGGAGTTTGACACACTTGGCTTAGGTGAATAAATGTATTTTTTATTAAAACATTGCAGTTTGTTTCAGGTGAACATGAGCTATCAGAAAAACTGAGAAGTTGTTCTGATGTTTCAGGTATCAGTTTGGGCATTGTGGTGAGGGAGTATGCGACCCTCTCCCATCTCCATAAGCAGTATTTCGGCTTCCCAGGAGAGATCCTGATGCGAATGCTGAAACTGGTCATCCTTCCACTCATCATTTCAAGTATGATCACAGGTAAACTGACAGTGTGACTGCATTATGAATAGCGAGTGTCTTGGTTTTACAGATTTTTTTTTTCTGTTATAAAAATGAACAGACTTTAAAAAGTCAACTAGTTTGTTTTTAGAAGAAACTAAAAATTACTTTTATCATTTACTGTGAACATAATCCATGCTGGACACAAAACATTTCTATTTATGAATAGGAGACAGACTTGGTGTCTTTTTTGCTTGAGCACCACAGTTATCACAGCTTGGTGTGATTTAGCACTCAGATGAAAAGAGGTGAAGGTGGGGTAAACATGTTATTCTGCTTGCAAATTAATTGACTGTTTATTATAATAATTTGTAATAAATCATACATTTATAAGAAATTATAAATTTATTTACAATTTATTATAAATTTATAATTAATTTTAACTTTATGCTTAACTGTAAATATCAGTTGTAAATATCAATTGAGGTAGTTATCTTTACACCTACAGAAAAAAGCTAGAATCAGCACACAGCTTAAGGTATTAAAGCTAGAAACCAGTAATCAGGCATGGAACCTGACTGTGCTATGACACAATTACAAATTCAGCCTTCTACTGTTTCCAGGATTAAAGGACAAATGTCCCAGCAAGATCTAGAGAAACTCATCCATACATTTATCTTTAGTCACATTGATTACTG